AACAAGGTTACCACCTAGATTTAGTTCAGAGAGTTCTGCTTTCTCAAGGTTATTTTCAAAAGGTGTGGATAATATCCAGACCTTGTGCTTCAGATATAAAAAAGTAGATATGTTTCTACTCCAAACAAAAGTCTAAGGATCCAGGCAAGTTCCAGTTCCCTTAATGTTATTAACTTTGAATTCCACCCAGGGAGTGGGATGCCAACAGAATGTTTTGGTGTCGGGTGTGAGTGTTACTTGTTTCATTCTAGCAACAGAATGTTTATCTATGTATGTAGCCCACAACCTTCAACTGGTCTGTTCATTTCCTTGTATCATGTTAATGCAATATTTTATCTTACTCCTACCAATTGGGGTTGGGGTATTTTAAGCAATTTGAAAATAAACATCTTCAATTTCATTATTTTCTAAAACTCCATGCAGGTACTATTCTATGTTTCTGTTTTTTTATTTTTGCATCTTTGTACTCTTTACTTATATTTCTAACTTCCATACCAATACCCTGACAAATGGTATTTGAGGATGGTCCCCGATATCCAAACTATCTGAAAGGGAGAAAGAACATCTCCCAATCAAGAAAATCAGAAATGAATGGGAAACATGACAACAGACTCCTCGGAAATAGAGAGAATCATGAGAGCATTCTTCAAAAGATGTATTCTACAAAATTAAAAAATCTAACAGAAATAGACAAATTTTCTGACAAATTTAGTAAGGTGTCACTTACTAAAATTAAATCAAGATCAGCAAAATAATTAAATAGACCAATAACACCTAAACAAAGAGAAAGATTCATAAGAAGGGTCCTAACCAAAAAAACAAATGCCCGCTTTCAGACGATTTTAACACAGAATTCTACCAGACTTTCAAAGAAGAGCTAATATCAATACTCTTCAAAATTTTTCCACAATATAGAAAAAAATGCAACATTGCAAAATTCTTTAAACAAGGCCACAGTTATCCTGATCCCCAAATAACAAAAGATTCAGCAAAGAAACAGCATTAAAGACCTACTTCATTTATGAACACTGATGCAAAATTACTCAACAAATTTACTTGCAAACAAAATACAAGAACATATCAAAAGATCATCTATAGCAGATATAGAGATCCATAGCCAAGCACGGAACCAAGCTCCAAGAATATAGCTGAAGAGGAGAAGGGACTATATGAACAAGGGGATAGGGTAAGATCATGATGGGAAAGCCCAAAGAGACAGCTGGCCTGAGTTTATAGAAATTCATGGACACTAGACCAACTGCTAGGGAGCCTGTATGGGACCAACCTAGGTCCATGCATGTGGGTGACAGCTTGTAGGTTGATCTATATGTAGGGCCCCGAGCAGTGGAACCAGAACTTGCCTCTGGTGCATGAACTGGCATTTTGAACCTATTACCTATGGTGAGATACTTAGCTCCACCTTGATGCAAAGGGCAAGAGCATAGTCCTGCTTCTTATTGATTTGCCATGCCTCATTAACTCCCAGGTGAAGCCTTACATTTTTGGAATGGAGATGGAGGAAGAGTGCATGGGGAAACAGGTAGAATAGTGGTGTGGGGAGAGAATGGGAGAAGAGGGAGGAGGGGAACTGTGTAAAGAATTCCAGCAGAATTTCAAAGAAGAGCTAATAGCAATAGTCTTCAAATTGTTCTAAACAATAGAATCACAAGAAGCATTACCAAACTCCTTTTACCAAACTACAGTTACCCTGATACCCAAACCATGCAAAGATACAACAAAGAAGTAGAATTACTGTCTAGTCTCCCTCATGAACACTAATGCAAAAATAATCAATAAAATACTAGTGAACATAACCCAAGAACACATAAAAAAAATCATCCAAAATGAGTAGGCCTTATCCCAGAGGTGCAGGTATGGTTCAACATGGAAAATCTGTCAATGTACTCTACCATGTAAATGAACTAAAAGAAAAAAATCAAACAGTCATCTCATTAGATGATGAAAAGGCCTTTGACAAAATCCAACACCCCTTCATGATAAAGGCATTGGCGACATAGTGGCTAGAAGAAGCAGACCAAAACTTAACAAAGACAGTTTACAGCAAACCAGCAGCCAACATCAAATTAAATGAAGAGAAACTCAAAGCAAATTCACTGAAATCCAGAGCAAGACAAGGTTGTCCAATCTTTCCACATCTATTCAAAACTCAAAGTTCTAGCTAGAGCAATAAGACAACAAAAGGAGATAAATGGGATACAAATTGGAATGAAAAAAAATCACAGTTATGCTATTTGCAGATGAAATGATAGCATACATAAGTGACTCCAAGAATTCTACCAAGGAATTCCTACAGCTAATAAATACCTTCAGTAATATAGCAGGATACAAAATTAACTAAAAAAATTTAAAAAATAAAATAAAATAAAGAGTAGCCCTCCTGTGTACAAATCATAAACAGACAGAAAAGATTCAGAGATCATCACCCTTTACAATAAGCACAAATAACATAAAATATTGAGGAGCAGTTCTGACAAAACACGTAAAAGACCAAAATGACAAGAATGTTAAGTCTTTAAATAAAGAAGTTGAAGAAAATATCAGAAAATGGAAATATTTCCCATGCTCTTCTATGGGCAGGATTAAAATAATAAAAATGACAGCCTTATCTTAAGCCATCTATAGGTTCAATGCCAATCCCCATCAAAATCCCAAAACAATCATACACAGAGTTCAAAATAACAATACTCAACTCCATATGGAAAAATAAAACACAGAGGATAGCTAAGACAATCCTGTATTATAAAGGAACTTCCAGAGACATCACTATCCCTAACATCAAACTCTACTATAGAGACATATTTAAAAAAAAAAAGAACCAAAAGACCCCTCAAACAAAAAAAAATGCCCAGACCAATGGAAATAATTTGAAGACCCTAATATTAAATAAAACATCTGTGAATACCTGATTTTTTTTAAAAAAAGAAGCTAAAACTATACAATGGGAAAAAGAAAGCATCTTTAACAATGGTGCTTACGTAACTGTGTGTCATCATGTAGAACATTACAAACATATCTTTGTCTATCACCAAGTATGAAACTCAAGACCAAGTGGATCGAAGACCTCAACACAAATCCAAGTTCACTGAATCTAATAGAACAGAAAGTGGAGTTAGCCTCGAATGCATTGGCACAGGAGATCACTTCCTAAATATAACACCAGCAACACAGACACTAAGCGCAACAATCAATAAAGAGGATCTCCAAAAACTGAAAATCTGCTATAAGGCAAAGGACACCATAAATCAGACAAAAGGACAGCCTACAAATGGGAAAAGATCTTCACCAACCCCACATCTGACAGAGGGGTGAATTCCAAAATATATAAAGAAATCAAGAAACTAGACATCAAAGTACAAAATAATCAAATTAAAAATGGAGTACAGATTTAAACAGAGTATTCTCAACAGAAAAGTCTCAAAATGCCAAAAGACATTTAAGGAATTTTGCAACATCTTTAATCTTCTGGGAAATGCAAATCAAAAAACTCTGAGCTACCATCTTACATCAGAATGGGCAGAATGGCTAAGATCAAAGATACATCACAATCTCTCAATGGGGCTGTTTCCATTTCCTGTTAGCAACTTTCCTCACCATCTGTCACATGGCTCTGGCATCTCCAACAGCCTGGGGTCTCTGAGACAATCCAGGTTTAACTTTCACAGCTTCGCACAATGGCCTTTCTAGGCCTCCATGCAGTGACACCCCTGTGCCTGGCCTCAACAGTTTTCTTCAGTCACAGAGAAAGATTCCATAACCTCTTTCTTTTAATCTTCATCTAAAGCCAGAACCATGTGACTGAAGCAGCCAAGTTCTGTAGCTTTCTGGGGCTGTGATATGGTTTCTCATCCAATGACATCTTTACCAGCTCTCTGTTTTCTCTGGTTTCCTTCACTGCCAAAGCTCAGCTTTCCTGGAGCTAACTGACAGGAAGGAGAAACTTTATTGATAATATACTGTACGAATACACCGAGTAGTTTTTTTTTAATATCAATAAAAGCAAAAACTAAGTGAAGTGTGGTGTTGCACATTTGTAATCCCGAGCTGGAGAGGCAGAGACAGAAAAATACCTGGGACAATCATATTGTCCTATTTGGCAATCCCCAGGTCACTGAGAGAAATTTTCAAAACTAAGGTGAATGACTTCTGAAGAAAAGCAGCAAACATTGTCTCCTGGCCTCAACAAACACATACACACACATCATTCATCTGTGCATACACACATGCATACACAATGTACACAAAACACACTGTACATCATATATATATATATACATATATGTATATATATAAACAATTTTTGTTATACTAATAATATGTCAGTATTGATGAAGTACAAAACAGACACATGAAATTTTCATATTAAGACTCATTCAGTAACTGTGGTAAAAAGAGAAAATTTAAAATCACAGTATTTTTGTGGATCCAGAGAAACTACACTTAGAAAAGAGTATCAAAGCTGCAATAAGACATTTAAACTATTTTTGATAGCTGAGAGTAAATTAAATTCCCTTCAATAGAAAAACATAAAAAAATCGGCATCAGCAAAGAGCTTTCTTTGAGTTACCTCAGTATCAGGGAACATTCATGATATAAAGTAAAGAGGAGAGACTAATAGATCCTGTGAATATGTCGACTTGTGGTATACAGTGAACTTAAAAAAATCTATAGCACTTGGCAGCAGAAATGTCACAAGAATGTCCATGTGTAATACCACAAATTTTATTTAAATTATTAAGAATCTTGATTTGAAACTTGAACTACTGCAGAGTTTAAGAAGACTATGTTTTTGGAAACATTAGTTGTAGCTGCACCAGAATGAAGCCTCACAAACATCTGTCTGTATTTCCAGCTTACAGGGGCAGGGACAATGGTCTCTTCCGAACTTGTGGTCACAAGTAATTCACACATACATATATGCTGACACAATACTCATAAGTATAAAAAGAATAAATAAATCCTTTTATTAAAAATGAGAAAAATTATCTCTTTTTAAAAATATGGTGGCACACAGACTGCATGTATTTCAGCATATTGATTATTCTGTTATCAGAACTGATTTGTACCAAAGGAGTAATTGTGGGATAGACATTAATCACAAACTTCTGAACACTCAAGATGACTGGGTCGTACATCCATAACAGAGCTGCACTGGATGAAATGATGAAATCTACCCAGTACGTGACCACAAAGCAAACCACCAGCAGCAAGATGGTCTGGGTGGCCCTGTTCTCAGGGAATGTTCTTAGGTGGCTGAGGCTGTGAAGATGCTTGCATTGCTTCTGGTGTCGGAACAAGATAATAACCATATATGCACTTGCCGTCAACATAACTCCTACAAAAAATACATCTCTGGAGGTTGCCACTGTTAAAATCAGTGCCCTGATGATGTAGTTCATGGAGAAGAGTGAGCTGAATTTAGTAATCTTCATCTGTTTGGTCTCACTCACATTGGTAAAAGCACCAGAATAGATTATTCGGTGACTAGTGAATGACAAGTTGAAAGACCAAATAAATAAGAAAGCAGAAATCATGTACTTTTTTAGTTTATATTTAAATGTTGCCAACAAAGAGGTATTAGGACTGATAGTGACAGCCTGGAACACACTCAGGAGGCAGGTGATACAGATGGAGAGGCCTCTCATCACCCTGCTTATGTAAAAAGTTGTCTTACATTTAAAGTCATTATCAATGTTTAGTGAATCAAATATGTTCCAAAGCCAAATATCACTTCCAGTGAGGAGCAGCACTATGTGGATGAAGGTCAGGTGACAGGAGATCATGTCCGTGGTTTTAGGTCTGTGACATAGAATTATGAAAGTATAAAAAGCAAGGAGAAACATATTGGCCAGGACTCCAAGTCCAGCTTGGAAATTAAGGACAATCCTTAATGAGAACATTGGTAGAAATTGTATTCACCTTAAGAACATGAAAAGAAAAAATGAAATTTATGCCCTGGCAATGCTAAAATATGCATGTGCAGCCTATATATGGTGGCTCTGAAGACATTGTCCATATTAGGTTTCATGATCGAAGTTGATGAGGACTACTGACCAGGTATCTTCCTCAAGAGGGCACCAGATCCCAATACAGATGATTGTGGAAACCTATTACAAATATCTGAAAAAATAATAGAGTATTCACCAAACTTTTGATTCACTGGTCAGGATGTCTATATCATCTCTTTAATTTTTGAAGTTCTACATTAGACGTGTCCTATGTTTCTGTATACTCTCAATATATTTCCAGCATATCCAGCATTGTCAGCCACATCCAACACAGAGTGCACACTTTATGTGCCTGTATTGCACCTAGACCTCATGCCTTAGAAATTCAATCCTACTGTTCTGACTTACTTTGCCTCATTTTATAGTTAACACTGGAAACAGCAGTGATGAGAAGAGAGCAGCATAATCATATTTGTACAACTGATTAAAAATTATGTTGACCTGGGGAAAAATCACAAAAGAAATCCAAAAGAGTAAGGTGAGTCGGTCTCATATTTTATAATTTTAATAAGCTCCAATTTAAACTATCCTTATTTTCATTAATAACTCAGTTGGAATCAGAGTTTATAATTCATGATAATCCCACTATGTTAATCAGCCATATGTCTATCTCTATTCATTCATTTATTTTTATTTTTTAATAAAGACAATGATACAGTTGTAGGTCATTAGTGCACTTTCCACACCCTATTAATTGTGTAACCATTATTGTTAGCAATGCTTCTGTGTCTCCCAATTTACTTCCCATCCCATTTAAAAAATTTTGTGAACTCTACTTGTAGTTTAAAGAACAAAAACTCAGCTATCAAGACAAACATTTTTTTTTATTTTTCACAGCAGGACAGTGGTGGAAATAGTATGATTCCTTTGAGTTTTTAGTTCATTTCTTGTTACTTTCCTACCTATTCCATTTTCTGTGTTTATATCCTCCTCTTTGACTAAGAAACCCCCATTTTCTCAATTTCACTATCAGATCAATGGTCTCCTGCTACTCCCCTATACCTTCATCCCACCTCCTTCTATATGAACTTCCCTCCTCCCTGCTAAGGAGCCCACCCTTTTCCATTTCCCTGATAAGATCACTTGTACACTGTTCTTCTCTCTATTGCTACTCATGATCAACCCCTACTTGGCCATGGCCCCATTTTGCTTTCCTGATATCTGTAGTTTACACAGGCTAAATACTCTCATTTGAAGATATGGAACTAGGTGCCCCCAACAAGAGAGAGCATGTGACGCTAAGAAAAACACTGCTTTCAACACATTGTGACAAACATGAACTTGCCAAAGATGACCACATAGTGAACCTGTTTTAGAATCTTTAGAATCTCTGTTTTAAAAGAAATTCCTTCCCATGCAGTGGAAATAAGGGTACCAGTGTTATTATAGCTCACCAACACACAGACAGCTTTAATAATTTTAACAAATAGTTCTTGGTGCTTTTGTTAGTTATTTAACCTGGTTATCATTATGATTTTTATTAAATTAGCATAATTTGTGACTTTAAAATCAACTCTGTAATAAAAAACTAGAAAACTATGCCAACTAAGATTATTGTGAGAGAGGCTGGAGAGATGGCTCAGAGGTTAGGAGCGCTGCCTGCTCTTACAGAGGTTCTGAGTTCAATTCCCAGCAACCACGTGGTGGCTCACAACCATCTATAATGAGATCTGGTGCCCTCTTCTGGTCTGGTAGCATACATGCAGACAGAACACTGTATGCATAATAAATAAATAAATCTTTTTAAAAAAGATTCTTGTGAGAAAGAGTGGCCAACTGTATTTTGAAGTTCACTTGTATATTCCACATACATGTGCATGATGTATATATAGAAATAATTCAGAAGTCAGTAAATGCAATCATGCTATATCATCCCCATGAACATGCCAACAAAGATTATACATTTTTACATATATACATTATGTTTGCTCTTAAAAATCTTTATCTAATGCCGGGCAGTGGTGGCGCACGCCTTAAATCTCAGAACTTAGGAGGCAGAGGCAGACAGATCTCTGTGAGTTTGATGCCAACCTGGTCTACAAGAGGTAGTTCCAGGACATGGTCTAAAGCTACAGCAAAACCCTGTCTTGAAAAACAAACAAACAAACAAACAAACAAAATATAAAACAACAAAAAACGTTTTATCTAGTATAAATTCAGTCTAAATGGCATAGATTCAGTCAAATTGCCAGAGTAAAACATATGATTCTCCCACCAACTTACAGTTACAGTAGCTGCACATTGGTGTTCTGTTTTTGTTTTTGTTTTTGTTTTTTTAAAGTTCTAGGTCACAGGCTGGAAAGATGGCACAGTAGTTCAGAATATGTTTTTCTCTTGCAAATGACCTGGGCTAGATTCTCACAATGACATAGTGGCTCATAATCATCTACAATTCTAGTTATAGGAATATATTGCCTTCTTTGATATTTCAAGCCAGTGGTGCACAGACATACATGCAGGTAAAACAGATATATATGGAAAATAAAATAAGTAAATATTAAAGAAAAAAAGGAAGGAAGGAAGAAAATGTGTTATCTGATTTATTAAGGATAACAATTAATTCAAGACTTGATCTCTAAACTGAAAGAACTGTAGCACATTCCAATTTTAAAATTGCTAATGGACAAACTCTATACATATAAACATTTTAATTAACTACACTTCTATAATTTATAAATAAGGCAATTATCATAAATAAAATATTAAGATGATAATAGATGTTAAAGACGGTAATCAAAAATTTTTGTCTTATCTCAAAGGTATGAATTTAAACATCTCTACTTCATACCCTTTGCTTAGTAAATATTTATCACCTACAGAAAATGATGTATCTTGGGACTGGAGAGATAGCTCAGTGGTTAAGAGCATTGCCTGCTCTTCCAAAGGTCCTGAGTTTAATTCCCAGCAACCACATGGTGGCTCACAACCATCTGTAATGATGTCTGGTCTGCAGGCATACACATAGACAGAATATTGTATGTATAATAAATAAATACATATTTTAAAAAAGAAAATGATACATCTTCCCCTTTCTTATGTGGCATCTTTCCCTGGAGTGCACTGGAGGTGAGAATGATCAGCAAAACCACAGCTACCGTGGCTACAAACTGAGTTGTCAACATATCCATAAATTGAGAAAAGTCATTTGTTTTATTTAAAAAAAAAAAAACAGTGCTTGGGCGTTCACATTAGTGTAAGTTGTACTTAGTTGTAAGAACTAAACTCAGAGTGTATTCATAAACATTCGTAGTAGTACAGATGCTGTCACTATTGAAGGGCTCCAGACCAGCAGGCAGCTGTCGAAGTAATGTGCAACAACAAAAACTACAACAAATCAACGAGCTGTTTCCTCATAACTCTGCATTCTTCTGACAATAATCACTTTCCCCTTCATTATCACAGTATTTGATTTTAGAGCAGTCTTGTTTTATGAATTTATGGTAGTCTTTGCATTCTTCTCTGAGGAGATAAGAATATAATGAACCTACAAATATACTACATCAAAAGTATTATTTTTGTTTTAAGTTTTACCATATTTAGTGAGCAATGACCTAAAAGCAGTGTGACTACTCAGAGAGACTTTCAGATGACAAGATACATAGTGCTGGCTGATGTGCTGTCCACTGTCAGCAACGTTAATAAGTCTCCAGGAATCTCAGGAAGACAAGGACCTTAGACATTCATATTAGGTCCATGAGGAGACTTTTATAAAATAGATATCCAGTAGGAAGGAAGGAATAAATAAATAAATAAATAAATAAATAAATAAATCACTTAAATAAGTGATTACTTATTTAAGGTATTAGCTCATACTTGCCCAATACTCTTAAATAATTTTAAAGTATAAGTTACTCTTTAAAAATTGAATATAGCTCACCTGCCACTGGAAGCACACAGACGCTCACTAGAACTTTACAGTCTCACGCTTTCGAGCCAGGTCCCCTGCGATGAAGCTGCAGCAGCAGTGTCACTGCAGAGCCTATGGGAAGCGGTCAGACCCAGAGCTTGATCACATGTCACATGATAGAAGTGTGGGAAAGATATGAAAATGATTACTGTAAGTGTGTGTGTGTGTGTCTGTGTGTGTGTGTCTGTCTGTCTGTCTGTCTGTCTCTCTCTCTCTCTCTCTCTCTCTGTGTGTGTGTGTGTGTGTGTGTGTGTGTGTGTGTGTGTGTGTGTGTGAAATGACTACCTGGAGTAAGAATAGATCAATAGCAAATTGTGTACTGGGGCTGCTGCTGTCATGAGTAAATGAAACAGCACTGAGTGAAAACAGAGTTATATCAAATATATTTCTAAAATAAGATCTCTATTTCATTGTTGACTTGATCAAATCCACGAAGGTCCTGCCTAGTGCATCAGCATCAGCATAGATTCTTAAAGTGAATGATACAAAAAAAACTGAAAATTTTGTGACGCTTGCAAACAAATTCATGCTTCCATCATTTGGTTTTCACGATGTGGATGCTCTACGTCTAGTGAGTAAGTGACATTTATTGGCATCATTTTATTTCATTTTTAAAATAATGATTTCGAAATTCTACAGTATCTCTTTCCCACTGTAATGTTGATGTATTTGTGTGTAGGCGAGCTAGAGACAGAGGGAGAAGCTCAATCTTAGTTCAAACTGACTTCAATCAAACTCACAGAAGCTCCTCTCTTAGTCTTCAACGTGCTGGTTTCATAGGTGTGTGCCACCACACCTGACTTCACTTTCCATTTGAGTTGCCTGTATATTTTTAGTTATATTTATAATATTTATAAAATTAATAATTGATATTCCAGCATATAAAAATGGACTTATGACATTCATCAGCTTAACTTAAATTTTCTTGGCATATTTTGAATATGCATATTTTAATGAACAGTAGTATTTTGCAACTATTAAAAACTTTGGTTATTTTGACTTTAAATAATTTAAT